CATAACCACGGCGAACTTTTTAAGCAAATGTTCTTTCGAGAGGTCAATTGATGGTTGTAATCAATATTAGTTCTGTGCGAATATTAATAATTGAATTTCGAAGTGTCCTGGTAGGCCGAGAAGCGATAGGTGGAGAAAAACTGGATAATTTTTCGCAGGTCAAAATTTGGTGTATCCTACAAAGCAATGAGAGATCGCTTCCAGAATATTGTCACCAATTAAAGTCCAAAAATAGAAGAGAAGAAAGTGCAAGTGGAATTAACCCAGAACACACAGAAAAACATGAAAAACAGAAAAACAGAAAAACAGAAAAACAGAAAAACAGAAAAACAGAAAAACAGAAAAACAGAAAAACAGAAAAACAGAAAAACATCCTTGCAAGATAAGGGAGCTTTTTGATGCAGCAATTGATGATCAGCAAGCAGCATCCCAGCAAGTTAAAGAAAAACAAACAGCAGAAATGGAAAAAGCTGAAGAAATGAGAAGGAAATCAGTAGAAACAATGGGAGAAAGCAAGAAGAGAAAGGAAGGGGAGGTAAAAAATGTAAGTGAAAAGAAACGTAACGTTCGGCAGAAAACCTTTCAAAATTATTCTAGAAAGAAGCAGAGTTGGCAGTTGACTCAATCCGGGCTGACTCACAATTGCGTTTGGAAACCAAGTTTAGACCCACTTTCCGCTTAGAATACAAATTAAAGAGAGTTTATCCTGGGTGAACTCAACACAGGTTGAACCCGGGTAGCTTTTTGTAGTGAAAACGGGCTTTCGATTGGAAATAATTTCACTTGCTTTCATTATTAAGCGTCGGACAAAGAGTTCAAGTGAATTTTGTTCCACTTTTCCGAGCTATTTTGAACATTATTTCTTCCTTGTACTCATATTGTAGTTTTCTAAATGTATTATCAGTCATTCTATCAGTTCAATTTTGCGTAGACAGAATATGCTCAATGCATTCTAAACAACAGGTTACACCATTCAATCTTTTCCTCTCTTGGGTACAGTTAAATTCTAGCTGTAAGTCAGCGCTGTGAGTTATTTTTCTCCGATCGCAGTAGCTGCCTAAAAAATTCACCATATCTTTGAAACGCGCTGAGATTTGTAAGAGTTGTTAGTTTCTATAGACTAAACACTGAAGCAACGATATGACCCTGTCATGAATGTCAAGTGTCTTGTCTACACTATACTATCGAACCTTGTTTCAGCCTGGGTAGGGGGTAGAGTGAACCCCCTTTTTATTTTATTTTTCATTCACATTCTTTTTTTGAAACCGAACACCTACACCTATACCACAGAATAGAGATTACAATCTCTATTCTGTGCCTATACACGTCCAATCGGGCATATGACCTAGATAGCTCCTTTGTTGGGGAGACGAGAGAGCGAAAGTCTTCAAATGAGTGAGGCAACCCTCCTTCCTGGATTCAGAGAGCATGCGTAATAATAACTTCGTTCTGTGCGCATGCTCTTTGACTCCATGACGGAGGGTTGCTTCACTTTTTAAAAATCTTTCTCTTGCTCGTCTCCCCAACAATCCTTGTGAGTTCTTTTCATATGTCCGACACCAAACATACCAAACTTTGAACTATCTACTGTATGTAGTTTTTTTCTTTTTAGTAAAAAATAATTGTTATTTGTGGTTCAAGTATTAAATAGAAATGTAGTAGTTAATTATTGCTGTGAATGAAATGTTTTGAGTTTGAGTTTTGAGAACCCAAGTAATATTTTTTTTAGTGCGAACACAAAGTTACCTAGCCAAGGTTGATCTGGGCTGACTCGGCCGGGGCTGATTCGGCCCAGGCTGACTCAGCTCGGCCCGAGTACTGCTTTCTATAAAAAAATTAGTGAATAAAACATGCACCTAGCAGCATACCCTTCCCTCTACAACGCGTACAAAATGCTTGATGACACTTAGCTGCACCCAAGTTTCCTTTGAAAGATTATTCAGCGCTACTAATAATTTCAAAAGAAGAAAAAACTTTCCACTTGATTACGAACAAGTCATTGGCCAAGACCCCGTTTACACTGTCCCGGGACAATTTTGTACCGTTACGGTTCGCAAGTGTTTACACTGTCGCGGTTCCAAATTGTTCCGTTTAGCCGTTCCGTTTACACTGTACCAGTACGACCTTAATTTAATGGTAGAACATTGTTTAGAAGAAGCTGTATTTTGTCAACCAAGGCTTTTATTTTGCCGCTGAAGTCAACAATCGAATTTTTATAAAATGGAGATAAAATGGAGGAGAAGGCCGATAAAAACTTCCCTTGGACGAACGAAAAGGTGGCTTTAATTTTCAGTGTTATTTTAGACTTCAAAACTGCAAAGTCCAATCAAGGCTTGAACTGGGAAACAATACAAGCCTTTTCTGTGGTCGTCTTTTCTTCAGAATTTGACAACGTAGTTACGCCACAATCAAAGCCTCGATTACCTGAAACAGCCATACAAAAGACCTCTTTGTGAATCCGTGACAAAATCGTTTCGGTTAGGTGTTTACACTGTCCCGTTCAAAAACGGAACCGTGACGGTACAAAATTCGTTCGCTTTCAAAGCAGGGTCAAAACTGTTCCGGATAGCAGAGCAAAATCGTCACGGTTCCACAGTGCTAGTGTAAACGCAAGGGCGAACCGCGACAGTTTTGTCACGGTTCCAAACTTGCACGGGACAGTGTAAACGGGGTTTCATGTGCACTTCTTCGAAAAGAGTTGAAACTCTGAGAATTTAAATAAGTTTTGATCTTGATTCTTAACTCTACATGGGATTTTAAAGCCTGTTTACACGAGATGCAAGGTATGGATCCAATTGGGTCCGAATTTACGAATTAAAGTCGATATACTGCTGCTGTTTAGCGCATTGATTTATTATCAATTTTTATTGAATCAATCGTATTCTAAGCCACATTTTAGTGGGTGTGGCTCAATTTTTCCCGTCACGCCCTAAACCAGGCCCTTGAGTTTTCTAGCCACCCTGAGATTTTGACGCCAGACCGCCCCTGAATGTGGTTTTGAAATAGTTTAAAAATATCAATGATTTTATAAAATCAAAAATTGGTTACCATATTTAGATTCTGTTATTAATATCCAAGCATTGAATTATGACCTATTTTCGGCTTTTTCTAGAGTTTGGCCTAGATATTTCATAGCAGTTTCTGTAAACAAACAAAGAAAAAGTAACTAAATCACATCTTTGTACAAATGTGTTAAGAAATTTATCCATTGAGTGGCTAAACATTGTTGCTGGATCAGTTTTAAAACAGATCAATCATTTTTTTCTGGAATTTCGACGAGACAGAAAACACCACAGCTACCGTCGTTCGCAAATTCCAAGCATTTACAGTCGCGGTGCTTGCTGTGGTTAGCCTGTGTTCCAGACCCCTAACTTGAAATTTAGGGGTCTGGAGCACAGGTTAACCACAGCAAGCACCGCGACTGTAAATGCTTGGAATTTGCGAACGACGGCTTATTTTTCCAATATTAATATCAATTCATAAATTTAAGTGCAATATAAGGCCACTCACCAAATTTCACATCGATATTCGAAAGAGAAGTGAACGAAATCAATCCTTCCTTTTATCAAATTTGAGGGCCCCTTAAGGAAGAAAATAGTTGAATCGGTTCTAGAGGCCTGGAGAAAACTACCAGAGGGGCTTAATAGGAAGAGCATTTAAATTTGTGATTTGAGTGGAACAATCGACGGATCTGACGACGATCAAATCATATGCATTAGAAATGGCCAGGGACGCCTGCACACGATCAGGGCAAGAGGGGCAGTGTTGGTGCAGAGGGCAAATGGTGAATTTTCCTACTAACGTAATCGAGCATTCCTAGGTGGGAGGGGGGTGAGAGTGGGGTAACATAATAAAATATTAACTTGAATATGCACCACCCATAGAGCTAGGTTTTTTACTATCAGAGATTCTAAACATAAAGAAAACGTTGACGAAATTATCCATAAATGAAAATGGTTATTAAATGGCCTTGTCGCTCACAATTCACGATATTTGGTTTTATAAAAACCATGGCTGTTATAAATGGGCTGGTTGTAAAATTTTGATTGCCCGCAAAGTTTTCATACCGATTTATCCTCCTTAGGTTGCTGGAGTAGTACTTCGGGAACAAGTCTTTTGTTAATCATCTATTATCTTTGTCGCTCTCCCTCTTGTGGCCGACATTGTCACAGACAAACTTTTTTCTTTCTCTGCATTTCTGTGCTGGTGTTATCATCTTTCTAGTACTTTCTAATAGATATTAACGTAAAGAGAATATTCAAAGTGGTCATCAATTATCGATAAAATTCTATAGTATTTTCTTATATTTCAGAGCACTTCTTGCCCCTCTGCCCCTCTTCGAAGAGCAGCTGCCCCTCCAGCCCCCCCTGTATAGGCGCCCCTGGAAATGGCCCATGTAAAGTCTTCAGGGCCTAGAGGAAAGTGATATTGATCCTTTTGAAGCAATACCAGATGATGATGTTTTGCAGGAAGATGTTGCTGATTTAATCATTGATTCAGATGAAGAGGAGGAAATCATCATAGATTTAGACTTACATTTCATGATTTAACAATAAGATTTCAGCCATTATTTTGTTATACATTTTCGTATTTAGATATAAACCAGAAAAGTACAGGAAAATAAAAATCATTTTTGTATCCTTGATCTTGATTTTGAAACAACCCCCCCCCTCTCCAATAAGCCCCCCTCTCTATTAAGCCCTCCTCTAGGACCTCGAAAATTAAATAAGCCCCACGGGGGCTTAATAGAGCTTTTACGGTAATGCTTTGCTTTGGAGAATTTTGCATTTTTTATGAAGATCCTGTTTCTTCTTTTCATAGCACTACACCCCTCAGTGCCGTCGGAACGAAATTCATATGGAGGGGGCTGCCCAGTATTACAGTTTGACAATTATTGGGGGCTCGAGCCTCCCCCCCCCAACATTTTGCTCCCGATTTCCTGTTTTGTTCGTATATTCAATACCAGTCACACGAAGTTGTCCGAAACCGTCCGAGAAATGAAAGAACCTGATGAACATGTTACGTCATAAAAGTCCGTTGAAGAGCACGCGATACTTGAGGTCGGTCTTTCAATTTTCGCACTCACTCGAGAGGGAACGTGACGAATAAGCTGTCGTCGATTTCTGCTTTGCCAGGAAGAACTTTGTGCTGTTAAAAGTGAGTAATTGCTAGTATTTAACTTATATTTTAAGGTTTTTCCTTCAGAGCCGGTTTTGTCGCTGGCAGTTGTTAATAACAGATGTATCACCTGCACAGGCGTGTTTCCTCGGGCCTAAATGCAACTTATTCCATGCCCCATTAAGTTTCTTGTTAAAAGCCTTAGTATGTTAAACTTGAATGTATGTTAATTTGAATGTTTGATATTAAAGGGCACGTCGTACTTTTGTTTTTCCAAGACTTGGATTTCGTTCAATTGTCAATGTTATGAAAATTGATAAAATTATTTCTTGTTAGCGTTACGGCCCAAGTGATCATTAAACTCACTCGAATGAAAAAACTTTGGACACTGAGAATATTTAACCGGGTTCAAGAAAGTTATATTGTAATTTTATGTATTAAAATCGTGAAATGTGCCTGATATAGTTTTCTCGTCCACTGTGTAGTTTAAAATTTTTGCCGGTCGGTTGTTATGTAACTTTTTCGACAGAGATGAAAATTTCGTTAGTTACAGGACCTGCCCAAAAGGAACATACTTCAACAATATAAATTCACCTGATTGCTAAGTCAAAACGATTTTAATTTTTTTCTAATTATTATTTACAAACGTTTGCTTGTCAGCCAGAGAGAGACAAAGTAAATTGAAAACTTGTTGTAAAGTTGGTGAAAAACCTTTGATTAAGCAGAGCAGTCAACAGTCTAACTCAGTATATTCCAAGACCTTAGCCCGAGTTCAAGGGTGGTTGATGGAGGTCATAACTTTGTCCTGAAATTACATCTTTTGTAACTGTAGGAATCACAGTTTATGACAAGGCTTGAATCTACAACCTAAACAATGAAGATAAAGGTTTCAACCACTTATTCATTATTACAATAAAAAAGGTTGAAATGTGGTCCACTAAGGTTTATCTATGGCCTTTGAAAATGTTTACCCTAGCATTGTGTGGTTAATTGCATAAAAATCCCCTTACTTAAAACAAGAATATAATGACTTTGTAGACACAGCAAATTAATGTATTGAAATTTTTCACAGTTTATTTGGCTGTTTTCTAACTATATACTTTTACCCAAAGGAATGGGTAAGAAGAAGGACTCTGGTGAAATTCCCCAAGGGGATGCGACCAAGGGCGCAAAAGTATTTAAGCAAAGATGTGATCAGTGTCACACTGTGCAAGAGGTAATAAAAAGAATTGCCTGTTATTACTTACTTCAAATTCTCTCACTGTGTGCCTGGTTTTTAAGCAGCAAACTTAACCTAAGTAAATGTTTTTTGCCATTGTTGGTTTTTTCTTTTGAAATGACCTTTCTAAGCCAGCAAGAAAACAGCTCTTTTTTATATAGATTAATTCTCGGATTCGAGCAATTAGCAAAATTGGATAGCAGAATTGGAACCTTCATGTTGAATTTGGTCTGTGTCGAAAATTTCAAATTGTTTGGGCAGTCAGGCTGCGAATTACCCCATTTTCAAAATTTAGCTTTTACTATACATTCCAATGGACTTTGTTGCTGTAGTGAAATTTTCTCACTGCAGCAGCAAGTTCTGTTCAACTCTAAAGAAATATCTAAATATTCGAAACAAAGTAACATGCCACCGAATCTGCCAAACAATATGAATTTTCAGTATAAACTAATTCAAAGATGAAGATTTCAATTCTGAAGTCCATTTTCTAAAAAGGTCCATAGATAGCGAGATACCAAATTGATGACGTCAACTTGAATCCATCAATAATTCTCTTTGGCATGCATAACCTTTTGAGGTTAAAGTCACAGCCAGATGAAATGAAAAAATAAAAGTAGGCAATTTATCTAATTGACTCTTACGTGTCTGTAAGTTGTTATTTTAATAAATGCTACTTGAATAAATTTTAGATGCCATAAGTCTAGTTAAATTTTACCCAATTTTATGTTTTACTGGCATAAAAATGCAAAGCAACAGTTCCTACACAGTCAAAAGGCAGACAGAAACACCATTTTGTTTCAGAACTGTTGTTTTAAGGTAAAGTGTGATTAAAATTATGATGACAAAATGTAATTCCCACCCATGTTCTTAATAACAATTGTTTTTATATCAAAGGGTGGAAAACACAAAACGGGTCCAAATCTTCATGGGCTTTTCGGAAGAAAAACAGGACAGTCTCCAGGTTTCTCTTATACTGAAGCAAATAAGAAGAAAGGAATAACATGGAGTAAAGACACCCTATGGGTTTATCTTGAGAATCCAGCCAAATACATTCCAGGAACTAAAATGGTTTTTGCTGGTCTTAAAAAGAAAGGAGAACGTGCTGGTAGGTTTATTTAACTTGGCAATGATGTTTTAATTAACTTTGCAAGGTATTTTTCATTCTAAATTTATAATTTACAGACAGACAGTAAGTTGCTGCCATGAAGTTTGATGGGCTCTCTCTAAAACAATATTGAGCAGAAATTATGACAAGCAACCAATGAAAGTGCCTTTTTTGAATCATCATCATTGCCCCATTGACACTTTCCATTCAACAGGAGATAAAGTGTTCTGTTGTCTATTGCTATTTGACTGATAAATTTGTTTGCTATTGAAATAGCACAGAATAGAATAATCCCCAGGAAGGGGGATGATTACATCATCCAGCATCAGTGCAAACTGGCACTCCTGTTTGTCATTATTGCTGTTCTTTATTGTCTTTGAGAAAGCATATCAAACTCATCACTGCAAATTATCTTGCTGAGTTTTCCTGGTTGAATTTTGTTCTGGCATCTCACTTTGATGTGACCATGTCTGATACAAACACTCTACCTCTGTCAGGTCCCTCCCTCTGTCATACCTGATTTGAGTCAGATTGGCCTTTGTTGGGCAGCACTATGATAGTACCAAGTAAAAGCTATTCTGATAAAACTTATATGATGGGTTCTTCTATATTTATAGAAAAAATGTACTATATTTTGAGTAACTACACTTTGTTGGCTTAAAATGTTTGCAATAATGGGGTATATTTTACGTTCAATGATACAGGGCCCTAATAATGGATTTTTTGTCAGGAAGTATATATGTCTAAGCTAATATGTCTGATGTATATGTGTCTTCTCTAAGCACTTGGTTACCAAAAACGTTTTGTTTTATGTGGTAGTTTGTTTGACCCTCTACTTTTTTTTATTTTTTAGATCTAATTGCATATTTGGAGGAGTCAACAAAGTAAATAAGTAATGACTGTTGTATGAAATTAAATGATATTGTCTTAATTTAAACTAGAACTTTTCAATTACATGAACTATGCATTCATTATATATCTGTAAGTTTGCTTTTCTTTTAGTTATGACACCATGGATATGTCGTGAATTATTTTTCAAGTTTTGTGATTCTTTGTCTGCTGTCTACAATGAGCATAGATACAGAATTTTTAATACCTGACCACAAGAGAGGCATTTCTGCACTTGAAAATACTTTGAATTGGTCACAGTGTTTTTTAAATGCTTTTCTACAACCTAACAGATGAATTAAGAGTAGATTGGCTGTTTTCCAAAGTAGGTCTAAAAAGGATGTGGCAATAATTTGTGAGAAGTTGGTCAGAGCAAACCTCTTGTCTCATTATCCTTGCAAATTAAAGGATTTGATGTATATTTATTGTAACTCTCTAGAAGGGAGTTTCCTTGGACATGATGAAAGTATTCACTGTTGGGTAAAATTTGCTGCAAGCCGTCTTTCGTGGCACAAACATTAATTTCAAAGCACTTAAGTTTGCAAGAAGATAAGCACACAACAAAAAACAAGCAAAATTTCAATTTTTCTAAAAAAAGGAAGCTATTTAAAAGGAACTTGGTAAGAATGAATGATTTTTCCATTTTTATTCACAATATGTTAACAAAATGCTTTCTCAAAACCAGAATTTTTTAAGATTTTAAAGAGTTGAAAGTGAACAAGTTGCATTTGGATGTAAGTCCGATTTCAGGAAATTGAAGGTTTTTTATGACTTCCAGTCAACTAAATAATGCTTCTGCTTGAATTTAGTATGCATTAATTTTTTATTAATTGGGTCAATTTCAATACTCCACTATAAACATTTCAGGCTATGTTTGGGGCTACAATGCTGTTGGAACAAAATTCATATTGGGGGGGGGGGGAGCTGTCCATTGTATTCCTTCTCAATTAGTACACTGTTATAAAGGAAGTATGCAATGGGTTTAGAATTTCTAAATTATCATTCAAAATTTCATTCAAGAATTCAAGGATAGTTAAAGCCTTTTCACTACATAACGGAAGGAAAACTTATGTTTCATGCCTCACATAGAAATCTTTTTTTGCGAAATCATGCATAAAAAATCGAGATTTTGAATCCTAAATTGGCATTTTGAAAAAATAAAAAATATGCTTGTTGATTGACATAACTGCTTAAGTCAATCCCCTACATCTAAAATCAATTAAATATCTGGAACATTAATGCATTTTGGTAAAATATGATTCTTCTGCTTAAATGATAAAACAAAATGTACTAAACAAATCCAATTTAATCCAGAAAGTTTAAAGGTATTGGTGAATAACAACTGGTTCTGTATTCCATTCACTGTCACAACTGTTGATCTCTTCTGCTAGTTTTTTGAAATGTGTCCATATGTACTTGTTGCTGGTACAAAGAGTCCCACCTCCCCTCTTGAACTGGGTTTCCTATAATTAAATATGACATTACTTTTATTGTTTATTCTGATGAAATTTTGCTCTAAAAAGTATATCAGTGTTCTTCTTAGGCAATAGGTAGGCAAAGAAGGTTTACATTCATGAAAACTTGGCTACATGAAACTTGCAAGGAAAATGTGAAGCTATTACTTCAAATATTACACCTACCAGATTGATGACAACCTGAATGTGGACCATCTGGCATCTATCCCAAAAAGGTTATAGTGTGATATAAAGGAGAGTGGTTGTATTTGAAGATAGTAGAATGCTCAGCATTGCTAAGTGGTTTTGATATCAAATTTACTGAGCAGAAGTACAGAATAATTGTTGCTAGACAGGAAAGGCAATAAATGGTCAAAGAACAGTGCAGCAATTTTTAAGAAACTATCAACTCACCATCCTGTTGATATCTCCAATACAAACATAAAAACTGTCTGATTTTGCCACAGCAAACTTTGAATGGTCAGCATAGTTGCTAAATTCAAATTCCTTATCTTCTGTATCAACTTTTATTCTGGTTATATCTTCTACAGTGAAACCATCACACGATGGACCGATTTTGCTTGAGCCATGTTGCCATGTTTCAGTCAGAAGATTACACTTCAAGGATGGGGCAACCAATTCATGGTACAAGTCTTTCCCAAAATTCTTGTTCTTTGAGAAATGAGTAAATCCTGAGCCAGCAATTGACACAAGACGCACTGTATGGCTATATGGTACCCCTGTGATGACATCATCTGTTGACAAAAGATTTCATGAGATTAGTAGAAAACACATAGTGTATGAACATGTCTTCAACTCGATTTAATTAATTAGTTTAGGTTCATGGAAGACAAAAAACTTTTCTCTTGTGTTGAACCTAGCAAGTGTTGTCTAGAGGTATGATTGCTTTTTAAAGGCACTATGTCCACTCAGTCAAAAATGGGCTCTGTGGTGCATTTATGATTGAGAAAACATTCAGAATTAGCATTGCCAATTAAATAATATCTAATATTATGTAATGTTATATCTAGTCCAACCAATGGGAGTTTAAATGACCATCAAAATGCACCAGGACATAGTATTTTGAAGTTAAAATGGAAACTTTTAGAAAAACTTCTTAGTCATATTTGAAAAAGTAGGAGATTGTTCACAGCATACCTTGTAGCAAAGCATTAATATTAGGGAACTGATGAGTCAGTGATCTTGGAAGATTAGAATCCTGGACATGAGGATCAGCATATCTCAACTGCATTCCAACAGAATCAAATTGTGATGAACTGAAGGTAACACACAAAAACATTTGTCCATAATAGGCTCCACTTTGGGGATAACCATACCCATCATGAATGAAATTTGGATACTTTGGGACACTGTGAATCAGCCAAAATCCACTGCTTTCACCAAATGCAAAGTCACCTTTAGAATGACCATGATAGGAATATTCCTTTCCTGCAAAATATATTTAAGTAAGTAAACCACATGACTCTTAATATAAATGAAAGCAAGAAACGTTTTCCAGAACAACAGATACAAATCTGCATCATGTCTATAGCTAGGACCCTAGCAGAGTACATCTCTCAAAAATTGGCACTTTTAAATGTTTACTTTAATAAATTGTGTTTGCACCATTTTGTTGTTCTAAAAATTGCCAAGTGTTTGGATTAAAAAAGGGATCATCTTGACGCATTGTTAGTTGAAAAATTCATCTTCAAGAATGTGCAACAAAAACGAATCACCTTACAAAAGAATTTGAAATACTCTAATCAATTGTAAGTTGCTTTTTATTTAACTGGATCCATTACTACCTTCAGGGTCTGCATCATTGTAGAAAACATATGTCATGTCATCTTCGTGTGTTTTGGCATTCGAGTAGACTTGCTGCATGGTCGCTCCCATGGCACTTTTTGTGTCCGCAACAGAGAAGTTTGAAAGTTTAAAGCCATTTGATTTGGCATCCAAGTATGCATATCCATAACCACGTTCTACTGGGACATCAGACTTTCGTGGTAGCTTGTATGCAATGAACCTCAAATAAGCAACAGAATTTTCATTTGCCATAACTGTCAAATATTAAAAGTATGAGAACATATAATAAAGTAAAGTTCTTAAGAGACAACAACAAATCTTACCAGTCTACTGCAGAACCATCATCCCCAATACATGACAGGTTATCAACCTTTTCTCCTAGTGCTTGCCTGAATTCATTTGATAAAGTAACCAACAAAGATAACAGAAAAATAAACTTCTTCCCCATTTTGCCAGCAACATCAGTTTCGCGTTCACCGGACCACTCTTTTGGTTGTTTTTCCCTAGCTGCCAGTGCTAGTGCTAGCGAAACCGGAAATAATTCTCCGGCCCAACCTGGCCTTTCTAAGAAAACAAAAGGCTAGGGGCAACCTGAAGATCCAAAAGGCTATGGTCGCTGAGGAGGGGCATCCTTTGTTTTGTTGATCGCGTGCCAAATTTTAAAATGGCGACACAAACAATTCCAGCTGGAGCTTGAGGATCATTTTCAAAGTGAATATGGTAAGCGTCATGCAATATGTTGATTGTTCAATAACTACTGTGTTGATAATAATCTTTCAAGTGTTTTATGGTCTGCCACTCACATTATGTGATGCACAAGTGTCCGCCTTGATTATTGAACATCAACGTGAGGGTTATGGGGTTTATTTTTTTTATTTTCAAAATCAGTTATTTGCATTTGTAATGTATTTTTGTGAAAAATGCAGGACCATCGCTGGTTGATCTTGCATTGACTTGCACGCACTGCCGCTAAAACTGCCAGTGAAATGTTGGCATGAACCCAGTTGGTCTGTTCTATCATTGATTCGTGTTTTTAAACATTACACAAAGATGTTGTTACAAAAAAAATGGCGAGGCAACACATTTTGAGGTAGAATAATCCAATAGTCTAAGTAGAATGAAAATGCGAAAAGCCTAGTACCCGAGGTGTAGCACCCGAGGTAACCTTCAAGGTAATGGGGGCGGGGGAGTAGAGGGTCCTTAGTAGACAAAGAGACGAAGACATGAAAAATGTAGATGCCATATCACCTACCGATTGACGATTTTACCGACAAACTTGGATTTTGTTGACCAACTGAAGATTTACCGACCAGCTCATGAATAATTGGGGAGGGGGCGGGGTGTCACATCCCCTTTCATTACATCCAGGCCCGTCTCCTAGCTATTGTGCTCGAAGGGATTTCCAAGTCCCATTTGCCGACAAGTGGGCGAGCCATCTTTTATTGGCCAGCAAGATTTTAAATTTGCCGATTAGGGACCTCTAGATAGCAAAAACTCTTCGTTTTTGTAATGGATTTTTTTTCAAGGGGCTGCCAACCTACACCACCTAGAGCGACGGGCATGCCTACACCCCCTTTTAACTTCGTCCCTGCCTAGCACAGAAGTAAACACAATGGTTTCAGCAGCGATAACGCTGTGTGGAACGGAAACATAGCAAAACTTGTACAAATTTTTTCTTGTTACAATGTAAACACCAGAGCTTTAGAAGAGGAGGGCTCAGGGAGGCTCAGCCCCTTTCTACATTTGCATCTATTTGTATTAATGTTACAATGTGAACACCAATATGCACTTTGAAATTTTGTCCAACGTTTATGCAGACCCTTTTGCTCCCGCCATTGCAGCCGCTCATGATACCCACTTTTAGTGTATATATGCCACATAATAAGGTATGCGATTTCGCTGGCAGCGAAGTGTCTTCCGTGTTTCCATTGAAGAGACTCTTTTTCCAAAACCGTGGTTCAATATGCTCCTGGGACTTGTTACACTGATCCAGTATCCTAGCTAAATCCTAAAGGTTGAATAAGAATCTTTTTTACCTATTTCTTACTCTATCAAAATATCCGGTGCCATATGATGCCCTTTCTTTTCCTTTTTGTTTCGCTAACCTTTGAATCATCATCCTCTGTTCAAATTTTTACTGTGACATAAACTGATCAAATTTTTTAAATTAAGTTGGTTATTGTAGACAGAGTTTTGAAAGCGGGTATAAAGATGTTTCTTCTTTTCAGCTTCGCCTTGCCATACATTGAATCAGTCAGATCGATTTTAGCTAGTGATTCAATCAATTACATATCACTAAAGGTCTTCTTTTCACGACTTCCCACCATGCACACATTCAAATGTCATCCGCGAAAATTATTTTTTTACTCTTAGTGTAACAAGCACTACTCTCCTTAACGTCTTCCACAAGCGATTCGAAAAATATGCCTTGGAGCCAAAGGGAGTTGATATTTTTGGATTCTACCCAATGATCACGCTCCCTGCAAAAAACGACACAAAATTGCCAGACTGGCGCTCTCTAGAGTAAACACGTTTTTTTCAATATCTGTAGTGTTAACTTATGCAGAGACGTTAAGTGTGGCCTTAAGATGGACCCCACCCTCCTTCTGGACCCCACCCTCCTTCTGGACCCCACCCTCCTTCTGGACCCCATCCTCCTTCTGGACCCCACCCTCCTTCTGGACCCCACCCTCCTGCTGGACCCCACCCTCCTTCTGGAACGGAAAATGGTTACTAGAGTATAACTTATATCGATTTAAATCAAAAGGGAAAATAGCAAAGGATGATAAGGATAAATTAATTATCACGAAACACACTTTGGCTTTCCTTTGAAAGAGTCCATGAATTGGCAGTCATGGAGACTAAACTTTATCTCGAAATCATTTTCTTCCAAAGCAGACAAGAGACAGAGAAATGAAAACCAGATTATCAGGGTACATTTTGCGGGCTATCCCAGTCAAACCCAAGAAGATAGGTGGATCATGTAAAATATTTCGAAATCGTAGACGAAAAATATGTAGTGTTATCCAGTTACAATTGTCGATTACCCAGCTTTATTCAACATATGAAAACAACTACTTTAAAAAATTAGAAGTCCTTTGGTCGTCAGTATTTCGATTTTCGTATCATTTTTCACATTAATGAGACCCTCAAGTGGTCTGTGTTCCCAAGATCTTAAGAACTTTTAAAAAATCTCCCCTGTTTCCATGATATTGTTTAAATGCTCCCTAAAAGCTCTCGAGAATTGTCAAGATCCCCTTGATCCCTCTTAAAAATAAGAGTTGTTTCCTTGTTACCTTTAAAAAACGGAGGTTCCCTTGTTCCCATCGCTTTTGCTTGTTAGGTTCATTTTATCAAAGTCTAGATAAACATATGTTTGATGCATTTGTTTTTGGGGATTTGTCTTCCGGCAATGGCGTGAATTTCGTCATGTTCTCAAGCTGTATTTTGTTTCTATGTTAGAGGTATGATTAACATGAAAAGGACTTCTCTTTTTACTGTTTTTATTACAATCGGTTGATTCTACTCTATTAAAGACAAATCCATTTTGCATTTACTTCTGTAGTTTACTCTTGTATGGAGTTGGCTTTAAAACCAGTCTGTCTCTATGATGATTTGCTGCTAAATGGAAATATGATTCATGTTTGTTTGTGTTGCGGAAATCTCTCACCCCTGATTCGTTCTTCTATCAAAACAATCATACGGAACTTGCGTGGCACAATATTTGATAGCAAACAGTAGAGTACAGATTCCTTTTAGGGGCTGCTATTATCACAAACTATTCACTACATTCTTTAAAGTTCTGTACGAAATCAGTTGCATATTTCCGATTTCTTTGGTTGACAATTTCACGTTTTATGATTTAGGAAGAGCCGGTTCCATGGGGGGCGGGTTGTGCGGTCCCAAGAATAGGCATTTGTGTCTTAGTCTGTAAAATTGGGATTTTAACCGGTAAAATTGGAGTTTTGACGAATAGATAAATTTTTTGTAGAAAATTGTACTTCATGTAATTTTTAAAAACATTCAAAGATGTTAAAAAGTTCTGCAGTTCAGTTTTTCTGTTGATCCAGAAGAGAATTTTCAGGAACATCACAGAAGAAGATTAATCCCAAGATATTTGACAAAAACAGAGACAATTTTAGTCTCGGAGATGCATTTCTAGCCATCCTAGAAGGCTTAATTTCAAAAATTTTTCTTCGCTTTGGACCGAACCGGTGGGTCCTCCTATGTCACTAAACTTAATTCTTAGCACCCAGGCTCAGTTTTGTGGCCCCCGTCTCTGTAACTACGAAGCACAATGCACCAGGTCGTGTTCATCTCTTTACGCTAATTTCGTGCGAGAAATACATTTCACAGAACTTGTGAATCTGTTATGAAGAAGTGCGTCCAGTTGAAGAACAGAAAAGTTCTATTCAGTGTTTCTAAAAGTTGAATAAACTACGTGACCACAAAAACTTATTTAAGAACTTTCATAAAACTAATAGTTTTACAGCTGAAGTTGCTTTGTAATAGCTGAAATTTAAATATTAACAATGCTAAAATATTTTGATCGCATTAACGGAGTGTAATGCTGCCAAAATGTACTCGGTAGATAAACACTTGCCCCCCCTCCCCCTCCCAAAAAAATGTGCCTGGATTTTGGTTATTGCATACATTTGATTATGTTTCTATTTTCTGCAGGCCGTTTATAATGAAGTCTACACCAAAGAACCGAATCTATTTGGTAAGCTTTTAATGACATGATCAATGTTTATAGCTTTTCTTTAGTTATGCAAAGCGTTCTTTGTCTATTGAATCTTCTTATAACACCCTTCCGTTGTGTTTCTCCTTGTCGACTTCACTGAACTTTATCGCTTTATCTTTTTTATTTGCTTGTATAGGCAGAACCAGCATAGGACAAGTAAGAACCACAGTCGTTCTGTAAACGTTCAAACGACGAGTCAAAATGTTTGACTCGGTTTTCTCTTTTTTATAGATTCCCTGTTTTCTTTGACTCATTCCATCGAAATTGAATGTTAAAGAGTCACAAACTCTTGTCTTTCAATAGCCAGATTATATTTCTTTTTCTTTTTTTCCTCTTCGTTACTTTCTTTTTCTTCCTTTTCCTCTACTGCTTCTTTTTCTACCTCTTCTCTTTCTCAACCTTCTACCCTTTTTCCTCTCTTTCTTCCCCTACTTCTACTTCTACTTCTACTAATTCTTCTTCTTTTTTTTTCACTTCTCTCATTTCTTTTTTTCTTTATTCTTCCTCCTTTTCTTCTTCCATCATTCTCCTTTCTTTTTTCTTAGTTCTGCTTCTCTGTCATCTTTTACTTCCTTTTTCTCCCTTTTTCTTTATCGCCTTCGTCTTCTTTAAATCTTCGTCTTCCTTTCTTTTTCTCCTATTTTTCTTCTTCACTTTTTTTCTACACTTTCCAGTAAATTTTCTTGTTTTTCTCTTCCTTCTTTCTCTAGCATGACTACTTCTCTATTTCTTTTTTTATTTTGTTTTCTTCTTTTCTCTTTCTCTCCTTGTCTTCATTCTTCTCCTTTACACCTTCCACAACTACCCCTTTTTCCGTTTTACTTCTCTTTTTCTCGTTCTTTATTTTTATTCTTCTATTTCTACCATTTGTTCTTTACATTTACTTTTTTGCTTGTTATTTTTCTACTGCATCTTCTCCTCCGTCTCCCCTTCCGTATTTTTCTCCTTCGTTTTTTTCTTATTTTCTTCCTCTCCTGCTCCTTTTCCTTCTGCATTTCCTATCTTTCCATTACTTCTTTTTCCTCTTCTACTTTTCATTTTCTGTTCCCCTTTTCTTTCTCTTTCTCTTCTTTTTCTGCTTCAACTTTTTCTTATTATGCTAAATGTTCTTTTTCTTCTTTATTTTCTTTGTTTAGCGCTGCTATGTCTTTTCTTTTTCTATTTTTCCTCCACCTCTTCTTCCTATCCTTCTTCTTGTTTGTTACTTTTTTCTTGGTTCTTCTCATTCTTTCTTCCTTCTTTTTATTATTTTCTTTCTTTCTTTTCTCTTCTTCCTATTTTTCCTGTTCGTTTATTACTTCTTCTCATTCTTCTTCTTTACTTTACTCTTTTTTTATACTCCTTTAATAAACCTACTGTCTTGATTTAAAATTTTACTTTTAACTTCCTTAATG